TTGGAAAAAGACATGCCATTAATAAAAAAAAATGTCAGTGAATTTTTTTTATGTATATTTAACAAAGCCAGAATGTTAAGCTATTGAACAAAACCTTTTTTGTGTCATATCTGTGATTTGTTTGTTTGCTATAAAGTAAAAAAGCTGGGTGAACATCCTCTAAGTGTGGTGATTCCATAATTTTTGCCAGGGGTTGTAGTATTTGAACCCAGGATTTAATGAACTAAGCCACAGATCCATGTGCTGTAAGTGAGTTTTTTTTTTTTTTTTTTTTTTTGTAAATCATCTGTCCCTCTGTCCAGGTAAGTTTTCTATGTTACCACCTGTTCGTCCTCATCAGGGATAAAGTTGCATCAGGGTTCATATGTTGCTTTGGGAAAATAAACTTAAGACAGTTTGAGCAGCAAGACCTGCAGGATGTTAACACTGGGGCACCTAATATTTTTTCACATTACTGAAGTTAGACTGTATACAGTTTTGCATGAGCATTGGGCTTTTAGGGCTAGGCTTAAGATTTACAAAGTATGTCCGTACTACCAGAGAAAAGGAATTTATGAATAAAAAGTTTGGCTGGACATCAGCTAATTGGGACCTAGTACCTGTGTGCCTGTTCTTCCAGAGAAAATGGACCTGTCTGCACATATTCACTTTTCAAGGCACTGCTGGGATTTGAACCCAGGCCATGCAAACTCCATATTGTTAAACTTAAGCAATGTGGAAAGTTGCTAGCTGGCCCAGTACTCCACATCACTGCAGACTTTGCTGTTCAAAATGGTCCTAGGTTTTCTTTTCCAAAACAACATTCATATGCATCCTGAATGCAACGCCATCACGTAAAAGGATAAACAAGTAACAGCATGGAAAACTAGTCTGGTTAGAGGTGTAGTAGGGGGAAAAGAGACAGCCACTAAATTTGCGAAATGTAATAAAATGCATGTTTGTCAACTCCTTTTAACTGTCTAAGTTCAGCAATATTACAAAATACCAGTTGGCTCAATGTACAATGTCAATGCAGGTCTTGCCATTTCAATTGTCCTAGGTTTTCTTTTCCCAGCTACCTTCAGCTGTTAATATTTATCCCTACAGAGTGCAAAACGTGGTAGCAAGCAGAACTGAACTGGTAGGGTGAGACGTCCTGCTTGTGGCGCTGTGGCTTAGTTGGTTGAAGTGCCTGTCTAGTAGGCAGGTGGTCATGGGTTCGAATCCCAGCAGTACCTTTAAAGCTGTTTGGGCAAGTTGCTTCTCTTTAGAAGAATGGGCATAGTAGGTCTGTAAGGACTAGTGAGTACTAGGTCTAATAGTCAGTGCAGGCCTGTATGAAGTCAAAGTTGAGAAAGGTAATATAATACATGTCTGTCAAGTCCTTTGCAATTATTATGTTTGGTCAAGAACAATGAATGTTTAAGCAAAAATACACATTGTCTAAGTTTGGTCACAGTTGGCCCCAATGTGCCCAATGAGCAATGTCAGTGCAGGTCTTGCCATTTCATTTTATTTCAGCAGTAATTTATATTTATCCCTACAGAGGATTAAAAACTTGGTAACATGCAGCACTAGTCTGGTCAGAGGTAGAGTAGAAAATATAGATAACCATCTAAGTGTTGTTTTGCTGTGGCTTAGTTGGTTAATGCTCCTGGGTAGTAAACCAGAGATCCTGGGTTTAAATATCAGCAGTGCCTCTGAAGCCATGTCTCTTCAGGCTGGTTGTTTTTCTCTTGAAGAATGGGCACAGTAGGTCTGTAAGTACTAATCCAAAATGGCCAATGCCCCTGCATTAAGTTCAGCAATGTGACAAAATACCAGCTGGCCCAATGTCAATGGTGATCTTGCAATTGTTTTAAGTTTTCATTTCTTGTCTAGCCTGAGCAATTTATCATTATCCTTGAAGCAACATAAACATGTGTGACTGTGGAAAAGAGTAACAACCAGTTGTTTAGCGTGGCGCTGTGGCTTAGTTGGTTAAAGCGCCTGTCTAGTAAACAGGAGATCCTGGGTTCAAATCCCAGCAGTGCCTTGGGAAGCGTGTCTGTTCATAAATATGTCTAATAAATATGTCTAAATATGAAAAAGTTTGGGTGACATTTTGCATAGTGTTAATTTCCTCTATGTATGGAGACTTTTGGGACACCCTGCAGTTGCAGTTTGCATGGCCATTTGTTATTTTGGACTGTTAAACCTAATGCTGCCTTTGAGGTGAAGTTGGAAATTTGAAATTTCAGCTCGTCAACTTGGGGTAGTCTTCTCAACTACCAGTTCCTTCCTTCTGTTCTACCAGGGAAAGTCAACCTCTTAGCAGATACAGACTCTCAAAGGCACTGCTGGGATTCGAACCCAGAATCTCCTGTTTACTAGGCAGGCGCTTTAACCAACTAAGCCACAGCGCCATGGTAAGGCTTTACTTGTTCCTTTCCACTGTACCTCTTCCCAAAGTAGTTCTGCATGTCACCACTTTTTTTAATCCTCTATAGGGATAGAAATAAATTGCTGTAGTTAGATGGGAAAAGACAACCTAGGACAAGTTGTGCAAGACCTGATGTCAGACACTGACATTGTGCGTTGGGCCAACTGGTATTTTGTCACATTGCTGAACTTAGTGTGTATTTTTGCTTAAACTTTAATTGTTCTTGACTAAACCTAATGCTGCGTTTGAGGTGAAGCTGCAACTTGTAATTCCCTGCCTATGCCCGGTAAAAATCACTGAAAATGCCCCTTCAATTTGCAATTTCAACTCGGGGTAGTCTTCTCAACTACCAGTTCCTTCTCTGTTTACAGAGTGACATCAAATCAACATGGCCGTGCACCACTTTCATGGAAGCATCCATGTTTTTTTCCACTTTGCGCATCAAACGTGCCGAGGTGGGAAATGGCATTATTACAACATGCAAGTTACTGCTTACAAGACACCATGAATGCAGCATAACACAAAGAAGTTGACAGACTTGCATTTTATTACCTTCCTCAACTTTGATATCAGCCATATTGGATTAGTCCTAGTACTTACAAATTCTCATTCTTCCAGGGAAAATCAACCTGTTTGCAGATACAGGCTTTCAAAGGCACTGCTGGGATTCGAACCTAGGATCTCCTGTTTACTAGACAGGCGCTTTAACCAACTAAGCCACAGCGCCATATCGTTTGGCTCATCGTCACTCTTTTTCACGATACCTCTGACCAGCTCATTTTAACTCGTTACCAGAAGTAAGTTATATAGGAAAAGAAAACCTAGGACAAGTGAAATGGCAAGACCTACTCTGACACTGCACATTAGGCCTACTGGTATTTTGGCTCATTGCATCGGCCATTTTGGACTATTCCTAGGATTTGCACAATGTGCCTATTCTTCCAAAGAAAAAGGACTTTACGTGTTCTGACAACAAACAAGACACACCTTCATGGAAATGACGTTATTACAACTTGCCACTTAGAAGGCACCACAATACTTACAAAGAGGTTGACAGGCCTGTGTTTTATTATATTTCTCAACTTTGATATCAGCCATATTGGATTAGTCCTAGTACTTACAAATTCTCATTCTTCCAGGGAAAATCAACCTGTTTGCAGATACAGGCTTTCAAAGGCACTGCTGGGATTCGAACCCAGGATCTCCTGTTTACTAGACAGGCGCTTTAACCAACTAAGCCACAGCACCATATCATTACCAGATGTTTATTCCTCTTCAAGGATAATGGTAAGTTATACAGGAAAAGAAAACCTAGGACAAGTGAAATGGCAAGACCTACACTGACACTGCACATTAGGCCTACTGGTGTTTGCCTTATTGCTGAACTTAGACAGTGTCAACATTATCAACTAAACTTAATACTTATAAAGGACTGAACCAACTTGCACTGGCCATTTGGACTATTCCTAGGATATGCGCAATGTGTAATCAGTGTGTGTGTGTGTGTGTGTGTGTGTGTGTGGGTGTGTGGCGTTTACACATTCTCCCTGTGCATCAGGGGTTTTCTCTGGGTACTCTGGTTTCCTCCCCAATCCACTCAACCTACATGCATTGTACACTGAGTAGCATTTTCCAAGTTGTCTGGGGTGTGTGAGTGTGTGTGTGATGGTGCCCTGCGATGGGTTGGCACACTGTCCAGAGTGTACCCCACCTTGTGACCCGAGTTCCCTGGGGTAGGCTCCAGGCTCCCCCCGACCCTGTGTAGGACAAGCAGAATGAAAGATGGATGGATGGATGGATAGTATCAACTCATAATTGGATATACAATTAATAAGCCCTTAATAAATAAATATATAAATACAGTAGTATAGATTAATATCAAATTATTGTTATAACTTTTATTTATTTTCTTAAATATTCATGTCCTGTCCGTTGCTTTTGAGGGATCTTTGCACTGCATGTGTTGTTTCGAGCATTTCAGGGGTTAACACTGTAACGATAACTGTAACGACGCGTTTGGTTCAAAAAACCTCAAATAGAAAGCTGTGATTGGTGGAAAGTGTTTGAAACGCGCATGCGCTCTGTACACCAGCAGGCAGTTGGTGAGGCAGAAGGTAGCGCGCGCGGGGGGCTGTACTGCTCAGGTGAGTGTGTGGGCTTGATTATAAAAACATATTTTACACATATTTTTGTCACTGTTCAGCTTAATAGGGTTATTGGTTTCACCATGTTTCCTTTTGTCCTGTACGAATAAATGCAAGCTAGCTAAAGAGTATTCAGATATGACAGAAAATGAAAAGGTACAGGTTTAGTTCTGCTCATTTACAGAAGATAAACATAATGATGTAGGTTAAATAATGACGCAGTTCCACCTGTATTTACTGAATAACAGGAAGGAGCAGCATTTCATGATGGAGCTAGCCCAACGTCATGTCCGGCTAACGCTTTGTTAACTTCACTTCCTCGGTGTTTTTCAGAGGTTTTGGTCGCTAATTACAAATTTTAGTCAGGTTCTGTGTGCTACAATCCTTTTGGGAGTTTTTAAAACATGGTATTAATAATGTCTGTGATTTAAATACACGGGAAAAACGGGCAAACTTAGCATTCTGAAGTGATGCAGCTAATGTTGTAGAGACACAGTAAACAAACCCCAAGAGCTTTCAGCTGAAGTAAAGCAAACAGCCTTCTCCACTCTCAGTGTGTCATTTCATCTAACAGGACAGACTCCAGGTCTTTATTTATTTATTTATTTTAAATAATATAAACATACAGTACTGTGCAAAAGTCTTACGCACGCTATTTTTTTTTAGTATAAACTTTGTTACAGATTTGTATTTTATGACTTCTACATTATTGATTCAGTACAAAAACATTTTAGATTTCCAAACATTAGTTTTCCAGCACAAAATTAAATGTTACAGAAAAAATGTATGTTAGGTATGTTAGTAAAGAAAGCAGCATATTACATAAGAGACACTTTTCAGACAAAAAAACATAATGAAGGCTGCTGGGTTTCGCTGCAAAAATAAGAAGCAAGTGTGATGGTCAAAGTCTCCAGAAGAACTGTGGCTGCTTCTGCAAGATGCTCAGTAAAACTTACAGCTCATTTCCTTATAAAACTGCACACACTGTACCTGAGACTTTTTTTTTTTAAAAAGCGAAGGATCGTCACACCAAATACTGACTTTGTTTCATTTATTACTGTTTACTGCTCTTTATAGTATTTTTTTTAAATGTAGAAACATTTAATTTCATTATTTTTGAAGGCATCTTTGCTCTACAGCATTTCTTTGCATGTGCCTAAGACTTTTGCACAGTACTGTATATCTCACACTTAGGTTCATTAAAGCTGTATCTTTTGTTACTGAATATTTAACTTGTAACACAGGAATAAAAATCACCTGATGTGTCCCAAGGCTGTACGATATACTGGATTTTACAAGAAGCTTGTGATATACAATTGAGCACTCTGACAATCCAGATTTATTTTGTCATGTCCTGTGACCAATTGAAAGGAAAAATCCACCCCAAACGATTAGCATATTCATTCAGTAATAGCTTTTTGTAGGTCAGGTTCGCAGTGGATCCAGCGTCTATCCTGGGAACACCAGGTGGAATAGGATTAGGAATACACCCTGAGTGGAACACCAGGCCATCGCAGGACACCACACACACTCATTCACACACTTATTCACACCTACGCGAAACTTATTGTCATGAGGAAACCAGAGATGTCCAGATTTGCATATCGCTCATTTGCTGGATTGTTTTAATATCTTGCAAGACATATCCCACAAAAAGTGTAGCAATATAATC